AAAGAGTGCATGGCAAAATATTTTTCTGTCTATTGTAAATACTTCCACAATTACGAATTTATTTTAAAACCTTTTCATAAATAGCCTTCAATGAACGAATGAATGAATGAATGAATTGTGAAATTAGAGGCATTCCGACCATTATAACGAGCCAGCGCACAGGCCGCTTAAACGGGCCCTTATGCACCTCTGCATTCCTTAGACCTCAAGCCTTGCCTTTCTAGCGAAGTTGAGTATGGCATTGAGTCCAATCTCCTTGACGTCCTGAGGGTCGAAAGTAATGGACCCCAGCATAGTCTGCCTATATACGTAGTAGCTCAAGTTTCACAACGACACAGAACGTGAGCCGAGTTCTCTTCCTCTACTCCGCAGCGCTCACATAAGGGATCCTTAGCCACCCCCATCACATACAGGTGGCGCCGTAACGTGTTATGGCAAGACAACAGTCCCACCAGCAACCTTAGGTTGGCTCTGTCTAGAGATAAGCAGAAACGTCCATCCTTAGCGCTGGGCCCTACAATGAGTTCCCGTGCCCGACGGAGATGTCTGGAGATACTTCTCTATTTCTGAGAGTGTTGTCTTGCGATCCACTCCATTTTTCTCCTAACTCTTTGCGCGGGCACTACTAGAGCTGGCTCAGGACCAACGAGCTTGCTGGCTGATCCTGTCTCCGCCAGAGCGTCCGCCGTCTCATTGCCCCTCATCCCACCGTGCTCCGGAACCCACATTAACGATACCAGATGCCTCGCTACGAGACAATCCAGAGTCTCCCTGGGCTGCAATATAAGGCTCGAAGTAATCTTAGAGACACTTAGGCCCGTATAGTCAGTCGTCCCTACAATTGTAGGGCGCCTTTATGGCCTCCTTGATTGTCATAGTTTTCTACTTCTCCGTGTCAGCGCTCTATTTTGAGGTTATGTCACAAACATCTATTTGCATCAAATTGTGCTTGCTTTTGAGTTATATCATGTTTTATCAGCCTGAAATTTCCTACAATTTAAAAAGAAAACATATCTTCACAATAGGAGAGCGCTGACGCTGACACGGGACAAGTGTAATCGAGAAATTTTTGAAGGAGAGAAAAGAGTATGACAATCAAGGAGGCCATAAACGCGCCCTACAATTATAGGGACGACTGACGATACGGACCTTAGTGCCTTCATCGCAGCCTGGCTGTCGGATAAGATTGTTATTCTCCTACAAAGCCCACACCCCTCCAGAATGCGAGATACACAAGCCAGAATCGCAAAGATTTCCGCCACGGGGCAAAGATAGCCGAGTTCTAGGCCCAGAGACCCCAGCGCCAGAGCCCTCTTCGATGACTCCCTTTGCAGTTCGACTAAGATGGCAGTATGCTCCTTGACAGGATTTAAGAAGGCCCAGCTGCCCTGACTCCACAGTCGATGAGCCACTACTCTCGCTTCACCGCGGATCACTAGATCCAACGGTGGGAGATCCAGCAGAGCTTTCATTGGACTCAATGGCGTTGTTCGCACCGCACTTGTAATGTTAATAGAGGCCAAACGCTGAATTTTATTCAGTTTGGGCTTAGTTGTCTCAGTTCCAATGCAAGGCCACCAGACCAGAGAGCCGTACAAGAGAGATGGTCGTACTATCGTCGTGTAGAGCCAGTGTACCACTTTGAGTCTAAGCACCCACCTTGGACCGACAACACGTCTACAGGCTCACATTGAATTGCAAGCCTTGTTAACTTCTCTAGTTCAGTTTGCAGTTCACGATAATTCCTAAATATTTTACTGATTGGGATAGAACTAATCTAGTCCCAAAGAAGGTCGGCAAGATAAGCCCGCCAAGCCTTCTTCTCTTAGTTAATATGATCAGCTCGGCATTGACAGAAAGATCGACTTTCCTACACCACGATTCCACAGAGCGCAGAGTGCCTTGCATAATTTCAGAGACTGTTCTACAAAAACGATCCCTAACTACTATGCTTAAATCGTCAGCATAGGCTTGCACGTAGACACCCGCATTGGTGAGCCTAACGAGGAGTTCACCACGAGGCACCAAAGTAGGGGTGACAGAACTCCGCCCTGTGGGCAGCCTCTAGCTACGCTGCCGCTGCAGCTTACGTCATTCAGCATAGCTGTTGTTACTCGACCATTCAGAGTAGATAGGACCCAATCTACTAGGATTGATCCAACCCCGTGCCTAACCAAGGCATGTCTGATATAGCCGGTTCTTGTGCAATTAATGTCAAAAAAGGCCACGAGTGTCACTTCTCGCTGATCTGGAGTCTTCTCCAGCCTGCCAATCAGATTGTATAAGATCAGATCAGACAATTTTCCAGCTTGGTATGCAAACTGATTGGAATGAATGACACACCTTTCCAACGAGCTATCCCCCAAGAATCTATCAACTATCCTTTCCAATGTCTTAAGCACAAAAGATGAAAGCCGTCTCCTCGTCCGTGGCCTCCGGAGGTTCCAGCGAGAGTTGCCCCGGCTGACCCGTCCTCTGTGAAGGAGCCTGGTCTACCAACACAGCTCCCGTCGGTCCAGACTGGTCCGACCCCTGGATTGGAGCCAGGTCAGTTCCGGCAGGTGTCGCCCCGATGTCTGGCTTTTTCTTCTCAGGAGTGTAAACACCCTCGAGGTTCCACCGCAGCACAGCCTGTTGCCGTTGCCCTTAATAATCTTCCAGCTTATGTAATCCACTGAGAGAACAAGTCGAACCCTTTGGGTTCCTCCTTCCTCTCCAGTAGCCCTCACGGGCCGGGAAAGTTCCAGGATTGTGCCTCCTGAGTCTTCTCATGATGACCTCATTTCCAAGGTTGGAACCCGGGAACCACGCGGTGGTAGACAGGAAGGTCACCAAAACTCATCGTAATGAGCCTTGCACCTTCCCGCGGCCGCAGATCCCCTCCAACCATGCCCTAGATGAGTCAACACAATGTACTTAGGAAGAGCCCCCTCATCTAGGAGCCCATCTATCAGCACACTGATCGCCTTCTAGACCTGCTGCACCTGTGCCTCGGTGATCGGTGAATTGGGTCCCAGGATAACCATCGGGCACGATAGCCACTCTGAGACCCGCTTAGGACGCACGCGCACAGCTAATATATAATATATGTATATAGATCCTAGGGGAAGAGGCCACGTACAGCAACGCATGCACTATCCGGCGTCCAACCGGCAGACCTCTGCCGCTTCCTGTCTCCAGGCCGCTTTAGGGCCTCCGCTGGCACACCGGTGGGACCCGAACAGCCAGAGCCACAGAAGTGGTGCCTCGACCTTCCGCCATCCGCGCTTCTTTCCGCTTCCTCGCCCGTTCCTTTTCGGGACTTGCCCGAGTATTTTTCCATACTGTTCCCACGAGTACAGGGGACGTGGTGGTCGAGGTCCGCGGTGCCCCTGCATGGACGCAAGGCTGGATACTCTGGAAGGTCGCCCGGTATCCCAGAGGCTCCGTTTAAGACGGTGCATCCCCACCGCCACGCACCCCGCTTAACACCTTGGGTTGGGTAGTGTACCATTGCCCACGATGTCCGTTGCGCTGCATGCGTCCCAGATATACATCCAGGACACCTGTGACCCAACGAATCATCTGACTAGTTGTCAGCTTTACGGCGGGTCTACTCAGAACTAGTCGAGACGACCCACCGAAAAAGCCGCACCGCGTTGCTCCCAATACACGGTCGCACACAGTTCAGCACCTAAGGCCGCCCCAGAAAACAAACTCGAGGACGTACGGGTTGGATTCTGTAGGGGATAGTCATCAATACTTCTTCGCTTCTTTTTGGCCAAACATATTCCTTTTTATTATTGGTTCACACAAACTACATCAGATCATATCAGAATAGCATAATTTTTACAATTGCAAATAATATCTGCGGCCGCTGGCAGGGTTCCTGTCAACACCGGCTGCTGGCTGAGCACTAAAACCTCTTTCATCGTTGTACTGGGGACTTCGACTTTCTCCGCCGAAACGGCGGCCGTTTTTGACAGTGAGAGTTTCATAGGTGATTGTTATTCACGCTTTGTACCTATTAGGGAGGTACTTTACAGGGTGTTAATAAAGTATGTGGCCAATTTTCCGGGGATAATTCCCTATGTGAAGTCGGAAAGTCCTAAACTGCACCCTTACTTTGGGACAGGAGGTTGAAATTATGATTCTGAAATCAAAATTAACAAATTATATTTCCAGAGCTTTGGCGGCTTTAGAGAGGAGCATCCTCCTAGATGCCCAGACCTGCCATTCAATTCTCAATGAAATGGTACATATTGCTGTATCTTGGTGCGAATATTACCTCTTGCTAGACATGAATTGTGAAGACGTGCGCTCCCCCCTAAACATATCCCAAATCCGCTCTTCAACTGTCCCAGAAGGATATGCAGTGCAGAAGAGCTGCCCAAACGAAAGTATCGCAAGTGCAGAAGGCACAGTCTATCGAAATGAGTCAGAGCAAAGCGCCATCTATCACCGTACCTTCTGGATAGCGGATAGTTGCGATACTTTCTTTCGTTGTCCCAGAGATGAGAGACAAAGCCTAGACCACGTTGATGAGTAGCCAAAAAGAAACAAATAGCTATCTATATGGTTGGCTGTGATTTGGATGGACGGACGAAAGCCTTATATTTAGTTTGTTCAATGGGAAGTAGACTAGATCGACTTTACAGCCAGAGTCGTCAGCCATCTAGCGGTCATATAGTGACTGGGCTATTAAACGCGAACTGAGGTATTTACAGTTCCAACAAAGAGCTGCTATGTATTATGGGCGCTACGTTCACAAAATATTTCATTGAAATTACTATTTACTGTTACCTTTGTGAAGTGTGACACTGAAAATGTTACGTAGTATATTAAGAAACAATTCACTTCAGCATAATTTTTTTGAATGTGTTTATGCTTAAACAGTCTCACCAGATGCAAACTTACCACTTGTATCTTGCTAGAATCGGCGAAAGTATCACCCATTGCAGTTCAATCAGGTACTTTAGTAACACCATATATCTAGCTACAGTTTTTATTGTATTTTATAGTAGAGCGGGTGCAACACTACATCAGCGTCATCATATAGAGACATCAACTACAAGAAATCTGAGCGAAAGTAAGTAAAACAAAATAATTTTCACTTATTTGTAATTATTATTATGGTCAAATTACAGTGTATCGTAGAACACGCATGGCTATGCTTAAGTCAATCTATCTGCTCCATAAATAGAACCCAAAAATGTATCAAATTCCTATAAAATGGCCTACAGAGCTTCTCTACTGAGATACAGCCCCCTAAAGGACGCCAATGGAAATAATTTTTTACTATCTTTTAAAGACTATAATTCAAAAATCAAAGGCTGTTTAATAGCACGGTAATCAAGCGAAGCCTCACTTGGTAGTGCACATGCAAAACAACTCATTTAGATAACCAAGAACGTAGTCCATTTACGCCACGGCACAACAAAGATGTAGCGCGGTAAAGCGGCAGCTGCCTAAGCGTTGCAATAGCTTTTGGTCATTCAGTCATAAATCTACGAACAAGTGCAGGATTCGGCAGGATAAAACTCAGGCTCGATGTATCGCCGGCACGCCCACGCCGGCAGTTGCTGTTCATATTTGGTGCATACATAGCGTGTGTTTATACCTACGTTAGCGTGTCGTCTACGGATACAGCAGATGAAACTGAAAATATTTCTCCCTATGCTTCCTTCAGCCAGGCTTCCTCTTCAGTGATGCCTCCTCCCCGAAAAAGTGACAAGAAGGGACATTTGAATAGTCAGGTAAAAGAAATTGTCCTTTACGTTTATAAGAGCCAAATTTTAGAGCATCCTGAAATGAAAATTCATGATATTGAAAGACATGTGGCGAACAAAACAGGCGTATATCCTAAGACAATTTTCAACATTGTTAAAGAATATAAAAAAAAACAAAAAATTGTATCCACCAAAGAAGAGGCTGCATTACACGAAGCTGTTGGATACAGTTGTTAACTTTGATCGGAATGTCATCAGACGCAAAGTCCATCAATTTTTTGAAAGGCATGAGCTTCCCGCCATAGACAAAGTATTGCAAGAGGTTAAACGTGATGAAGACTTACCTACTTTGAAAAGGACAACATGCTATAGTTTACTCAAAGAACTTCATTTTGAGTATATAAAACGGGGCAGAAATAGTATTTTGATGGACAGCCAAGACAATTATTTTATGGAGAAGTACTTATTCAAAATCAATAAAGAAATACCGCTACCAGAGCAGGAAGATTTATTACTTGGATGAAACCTGGCTAAATGCAAGACATTCAAAACCTAAAGTATGGGCTGACTCTACAATTAAATCAGCATGACAAGCCTTCTTGGATGAACTAACCACTGGCCTAAAGAATTCGTCAGGTACGTGTATCTAACCAATTCGTCATTTGTGTTGTAAAAATGGTGTCATTTAGACTGAATCTATGAACCCACGCTGAAAACTTAGCTACATCAAACTTAGCTAAATGTGGTAGATTTGGAACCAACACCTATTAGATACTCTGATTGTATTATTATTAGTTTTTTTGAATATTATATGAAATAATTATTTCCAGGAAGAGGAAAACGATGTGTTGTCTGTCACATTGGCAGTGAAGATGGCTTTGTGCCTACTGCCTACGGACTTTTGATTCAAAGAAAACGACCGTCTACCATGAAGAAATCGACGGGAGTTCATTTGAACGATGGGTTGAAGAAATGCTCCCAAGCTTGATGACAATGCGGTATTTGTACTTGATAATGCTGCATACCACACTAGAAAACTAGAAAAAATTCCCACAATGTTCACAAGAAAGGCAGAAATTCAACAATGGCTCCTATCAAAAGACATTAGTTTCAATAGAAATATGGTCAAAGCAGAACTTATTCATCTAGTCAGGCAGTACAAATATAAAATCTAATCTTAATGTTATTGACTAAATGGCTAAAAACCAAAATAAGACCTGTTAGGGATATTTGGGCTGGCTTTATTTTAAGGCGAGTCTGAGTTGTCGCTTGCCTACCCCGCGCGCGTGCGCTGCTAGGACAATAAAAAGAAGAGAGATACTAGCTCACAGTGAGACCACGCAGATACGCCGCAACCGCACACAGTGAGACCACGAAGATACTCCGCAACCCGCATACCGTGAGAACATATATACGCCGCAACCGCATACAGTGAGACCACGTGTCTACGCAGCAAACGCATATAGTCAGAAATCGCATATACGCAGCAACCGCATAGAGTCAGAACCGCTCCCACACCCGCAATCTTCACGCTCCTGCATCACCTCTACGCCAGGAATACGAACCAGAATTAGACAGAATAACGGATCAAAGGTAGGCGACAACCACATTTCATTCTTGAACCAGCCGCTATACAGTCCACTCGAATACTCTAACGTTTTAAGGATACCTGTAATAATTAATATATATTTATTACTACAGGTTAATATATTTTGGGCATGTTTTCCCTGGGCGTAAATGGACTACGAATGGGGTATAGCTCTGAAGTAATATTTCTCATTTTGTAATAAAATGGCTCAAGGTGATATACAGGGTGATTTTGAAGTTGAGTCATTAATTTTCAGATAATGATTGTAGAGGGAAGATAAACCAAAATATGTGTGTAAAAATAAAAAAAATAAAAAAAAAATTTTTACCTTGTTTTATAAAGTATCCTCCCGACAAGTATTTCAGTGCGGACCTGTATTTGATCGTGAGGTCTTGGAGCACCGGCATGCAGTCCCCTGTGTGGTCTTAAGTCACCTGATTCACGAGCCCGTTGTACTACATTAACAAAGGCACGAGGGGTTGGTTGCACTCGATTGGGAAACCGATCCGCATAAACATGTGCCATTTTTTATTTCGTTTGAGCCACGCAACAGACACCACTATTCAAACGCGTTACCGACTGACACTGACTGTATACAACTGACTAAAATAATTGTAAAAACATCGTTCCAAATTCTTTCGCTTTTTTGTTTCCGATGCGATGAACCAAACACGAGCACATAATATTATTATTATTGAGACAGGGCGGTACTCAAACTTCCAAAGGGCTATAACTTTGTTACTTTAATTTTACCAGAAAAATGGTAAAGGAAAAAAACATTTCTTTTGATCAGATCTACTCACTGTTAAAATAAATGACTCAACTTCTAAGTATTCGGCAACGATCATTGTTTCAATGCCGTTCCTATCAATTTACAGATTTGTAATTAGAATGACTGTGTTTTTCTCAAACATGATCCATCATCATCCATATTAAGAGTACAATTTTTCGTTTTCTAGGAAAGTTCAGCTATCCTTCTGCAGCGTCTTCTTCTTATACTCGTACTGCATTATCCAAGACACCGACGTTATCTATAGATGCCAAACCTTATGCTCCAAATTATCAAAGTCCTTTTCCACGGAGAACTGGCCCTTACCAGAGTCTCCGCGTGACCAGTACGTCCACAATTACACCGCCTCCTACAGCAACTCTATCATCCTTAAGCCTGACAGGAAACGCTCCTTCTTCTTCTTCAACAAGTATGAAGCTCACCGCCCAATCAGCGTCTCCATACAAGGCTTCAAGTTTACCGGATGTCCATTCAAACATACCGACCTACACATTCAAGGGAAAGCCACGAGGAAAAGTGTTGATTATCAACAATATGAAGTTTATTAACATCAAGGAAGATAGAAAAGGTGCCGAGTATGATCAAGCGAGTATGAAGGAGATGTTTAAACAGTTTGGGTACAAAGTAGTTACTGAAAAAAATAAGACCAAAAAGGTAATTTTTTAGCTTTGATAATAATTTTTGGCATATACAGGGTGGCGCATCGAAAACGAAACAGACGCATTTACTGGCAGCTCAGTTTTTTTTGTGAAAACGCTCAGACCCGTCGATTTTGTTTTCGAGGGGGACACAAGTTTGGCAAAAAATCACGTTAACACATGCAGCCCCCTGGGCGGGGGTGACACCAACCCTAAAATCTTAAATGGAAAGGGGGGTCGAGTGATACCTTATTTTAAAGGTTTGTACTACTTTCAGAAGAAATTTGACTAAGAATTTACTTAATAAGTAAATGCTTTTCTTCACTACGCCCATGGTTTGTTTATCATTTTGTTGTTGAAAATAGCTAATGGAGCGTTTTTTTGTGGCAAAAATGTTATTTCTTGAAGAAAGATAAGGAAATATCTCGTACTTATTTTAAATAGAAATTTAGTACCTAGTTTGCGATTGATTTGACCAAACTTTGTTGCTAAAATAACGTCTAACGATTTATTACATAAATTAACCATGGTATATTCCACAGCAGAAAGAGTTGAAATTATCGAAATATTTTTCGGAAATAAATCAGTGCGCTAATAGAACAGCAGAAATATTTAATGAGCAACATGAGAACAGTAACGTGCATCGAAAATATGTTCTAGAACTTGTAGCTAAATTTCGGGAAACTGGGTCAGTCGCCAATAAAAAACGCAACATTGAAAATCCTATAAGGAACGAAGCAATAGAAGTGGGGGTTTTAGGGCAAGTTTATGTAGATCCTACGTTAAGTACCCGCACATTGGAGACTGTGTGTGGTGTTAGTCGACGTACTGTCCAACGGATTCTGAAGGCCCCTAGTTTTCATCCGTATAAAATTTACCTGGTACAAGAACTTAAGACGATTTTGATCGACGATTACAATTTGGTGAAGATATGAGTGAACGAATTATAAACGATAAACATTTTCTAATCAACACTTGCTTTTCCGACGAATGTTCCTTTTTCTTAAATGGCGTAGTAAATCGTCATAACTGCCGATATTGGTCCGATTCTAATCCCAGAATTTATCATGAGGTTCATACACAGCAGCCACAAAAATTAAATGTTTGGGCTAGTATTTTTGGCGATCATTTAGTTGGTCCTTTTTTCTTACCTGGAAATTTGACCGGTGAAATGTATTTGGAATTAGTGGAAGACGCCATAGATCCTGCATTAACAGCCATAATTGAAAATCAGAATGATCGGCGGTACATTGCGAATAGGTTGATGTTCCAACAGGATGGTGCCCCACCACATTACGCATTACGTGTTCGACAATATTTAGATCAGACGTTTTCAGATCGATGGATTGGTAGAGGAGGTGCCATTGAGTGGCCCCCAAGGTCGCCAGATTTATCACCTTTGGATTTCTTTATGTGGGGTCATTTAAAAGGCAAAATCTATGCTACTCAGCCAACATCATTAGAAGACCTGCGACAAAGAATTGTGAATGAGTGCCTTCAAATTACTCCTCAAATATTGCAAAATGTGCGGCAACGTTTTGAGCAAAATCTTTATTATTGCATGGAGAGTATTGATGGCCATTTTCAACATTTACTTGCCTATCGGGTCAGTTCATTCTTCATTGTTAAATTACTTTGCTGCCAAATGTATTGATCTCCACTAATGATGATGTATTAGTTTTATTTAAGCTTTAAATCAATAAATCTTCAAAACTACTGAACTGAAGCTCATGTATTTTACATCATTATAAAGGGAATTGAAAGACCTTTAAAATAAGGTATCAGTCGACCCCCTTTCCATTTAAGATTTTAGAGTTGGTGTCACCCCCGCTGCACGTGTTAACGTGATTTTTTGCCAAACTTGTGTCCCCCTCGAAAACAAAATCGACGGGTCTGAGCGTTTTCACAAAAAAACTGAGCTGCCAGTAAATGCGTCTGTTTCGTTTTCGATGCGCCACCCTGTATATAAAATAGTGATGGAATTATTCGACCAAAGGCTGTCAGCTTTAAGTAAATAAATATATAGATCTCAAAATTATGATATAACGTGTGCTTCAATTTGTGATATCATCACTGGGGCTTCGAAAACAATGTAAAGCGCTCGTAAAGAAATTTTTGTAGATATCTCTGTGAAATACTCAATTTCAAATTTCAAAAGTTATATTTTCAGAGAATTTTTGTAGGACTTAAAAATTGATTTTGTGTATGGGGTGGGGGGAGGGTATATCTAATTTTTTTGATGTTCCGGTAATTATTCGCACTTGCTAGGCATATTACACACATCATAGATTTCCCCACACATTTTCTCTTGAAACTTGGAATGATAGAGGAATATGTTCGATGCGGTGCCGCCCTGCAGAGGTTGACGAGTCCTGCGGTCAGGTAACGTAAGGAAGGGGCGACGTTGTCTAGTGGAGGGTACTACCGATAGGGCAGCGTGGTAATCTGTATGGACTAATTGTATGGGCAGGTTTCACTGACAACTTTTTCCTTAGAGGGTCTAACATGTGCTGAACATAATCCTTTATGAACGGATGTCGACGTTGCGTGGCAAGTGCAGAGTCAACCTACCTGATGAGATTTTCAATTTCCCTTGCCAATTGACATTTACTATTGAAACAGACATAATTTATTTTCATATTACATATTTACAATTATGGTGAGGGAGCAAGCAAAAAAGCACGCGGAAAGAATCTTTGCATACGCGAACAATTTTAGCCATGGTTTGATTCCATTTGAACTCTTTGCATATGCTTAATATATTTCGTTTTTGTTATACAACTACGAAGTTAACATTTTTTTCAGAAGGGGCTAGTTTGCTCCCACTTTCGTTTTAGGGGATTATAGATAACCTATGGTTTTTGGGACTTTTTAAACGAGATACAGGATGTTATCGATTTTGGGCATCTTTTTATAGACTCGCAGTTTTTCAACCACCTATTGTATTTATTTTATATTTCTTTGGAACTTGGTTTACGTACTCAGGTTATATTTTCTAATCGACTGTGATAACAGAAACAGAAATTCGTTCTAATCAGAAACAACACCTTATATATTTGAAATTCTGAAGGTCTTTTATACATTTTTGGAAAGATCACGAAACTGTCATTCTAATGATCCACTTTTTTTATTTGCGCATACTGTAAATTTGAGATTTTCTCAAAATTTTCACAGTATGTTGATGCATAACCAGTAATGCGGACATGAACGTACGTTTTTAGTGGTCTAGAATGTATAGACAAAAAAAAATTGGTCGATAGGATGGCCTTTTCCCAAACCAAACACTAACGTAGCGCATACATGGTGTCCAAAATTAGGACCTTAATACCTGTGAGTCATACAGTTTAGATTGAATTAGGTAAATGCTGCGTTCTTTGGAGCGTATTTACATGCCGTTGAGAATTTTTTACAAATTTCATGGCTTACTGAGATATTTGGGAAAAACTAATATTCCGCTGAATCATTATTTTTTAATTTCAAGAAATATCAAAAAACTAATGAAATTTTTCTATTGGCGCTTTTTAGGCACTACATGATGGTGTTTTTAAACTTGATGCCCGACGGTTCGTTTGTAAAAAACCATCATCAACTTTTTATAGGGTCCGAAAAAAGTACATCCTGTATCTGATAGCATTTTTTATGAATTCAACGAAGTATCACATGTTACATTTATTTTCTTGGTTATAAGGAAAAACACGTTTCTTCTGATTTTTTTTAAGTAGGCGTGGCAAATAAATGCTTGACTTGTAAATATCATTTAACGAGTATTATATTATTATTTTGTCCCACTACAATACTAAAACTACTGCAGAAATGTATCTTGATGCATTTCCCGACAGAAGGCAGCTAAGTAAGTCCATTTTCTTAGAGTTGGCACGCAATGTATATGGTTCATACAAAATGTCTGATATGTATCGAAAAGAGGAATCTTTAGAGGAAACTCAGAATAGTGTTTTACGAGCAGTTGCTGAGAACTCTAAGATATCACCTAGGCAAATTGAGAAAAATGTGGGAGTAGCAAAATTCACAGCCCAATTTATTTTGCGTAAACATAGATATCACCCTCCTATAAATTCTTGATTTACCAAGGACTTAGCCCAGGTGATAGCAAGCGGCGCCAGCATTTTTGTGAGAGGTACACACGAACGTGTGAAGATTTTAATTTCCCTTCAAAAATAATATGGTCCGACACAAAATTCAAGAATACCATCATGTAGTGCCAAAAAGTTGAATTGGTTTTTTGATATCTCTTAAAATAAAGTCAGAAAAAATAACGATTTGGTCAAATTTTAGTTTTTCCCAAATATCTCAGTAAGTCATGAAAAGTTTAAAAGTTTGTCAAAGGTATGTAAATACGCCGAGAAGAGGTCCAATAATAATAATCCTTATCTTGCCGGGACACATTATGGTCGATTTTTTAACCTTCTCTCTTAAAACATTACAAAAAGTTTTTTTCGCTCTGACAATTTTTTTTAATAAGAAAAGTATTAGTATTATTAGTCGTTCCTAAGTTCCCCTTGAAAACCCGAAGTATATTTCAAGATTAATTTGTTTTAAATCTATTTTCGAGCCGGTTTGTTAAGCCATATAGACAAACTTAGTTTGTATTTGATTTTTTGTTGTGCAAATATGTAAATAATGATTGTTAGATTAAAAAAGAATGAATATTCCAATCATTTTAATGAATTCCTATTGACATTCCCTTTCTTAATTTTTTATTAATAATAAATGTTTTTTAACAACAATGTTTGTTTTGCTGCTTCATTTAAGTTATTATCTCTTGTATTATAAAGAATGTAAGTTAATTAAAATAACCATCCAAATTGCTTCTCTGCATGTACTCCACATATTTCCTTTAATACTTAAGAGGGAGGGTTATAAGAAAATTGACCAAAAAGTGGGCCGGCAAGATCTGGATTATTGTTCCTTGACTTTATCTTGATATCATAAAGTGCGGTCCTCACATTTTGTAAAGTCAATTCAATCCAACGCCTGTACAATACGTACAGTCAGTGA